TCACCATCGAGGGCGCTCTCACATCTAACATATAAATATATATCTATATAAATATATTAAAATATATAAATATATTTGTATTTATATATTTTATATTTATATATTTACAGAGATATATATTTATTTGTATATAAATATAATTTATTTATAAGTTATTATCATAAAATCTTAGTAGCTTAGTAGTTGGAGTATCAACTTCCAATTCTAAAGTATTGAGTTCGAATCTTGCCAATGACAATTCTCTTAAAACAATATAATAAATAATAAAAATATAATTTAAAGGGGAGGGGGAACTCTAGATAAAAAGAGGAGGATAGAGGGTATTATTCACCAAGTTTATACTTTCAACCTTTGATAAGATTCCCACAAAACACAATGGATTCATTAAAAATTCTAGTAGTTTTATTATCACTCAAAGGAAAACTCACAAGCTTACTATTTTTGTTGTCAATATTTGAGATTATTTGCACGATCTTTAAATAGAGGTGTTTCATCCACTTATGTCAAAAGTTAGTCAGAGACCCTGCATCAAGTTTGAACGCATGCTCATGTTGAACTTCGTTGAAATAGTAAAGTTTATCCTTTTGTTCGCTCAGTCTATTCAGCTTCTTTGAAGTGAGATATTATATAACACATGTAGATATGGTAAATTGAGTCATATAATTTGATTCATTCAAAATTTGAAACACAACTATTAGACTACATTGTAGTTTAGGTATATATATAACACATTGTTAAGTTTTATCCCTCATTCAAGGAATACACATGTCTTTTTTAGTTCCTACAAGTTGTTATTGATTTGACATTCCCACATGATATCCTTGCATCGTTCTTAACCTTTGAAGGAGTTTCAAATTTCCTATCATATGATTAAAAACTCTTGTGTCAATAGTCCATGATTTCTTGTTTGTAATCTACCTTGGTCATGCAGAACCTGTTAAAGCTCTGATACCATACTAATTTTGAGATAAAATATTTATATTGTATTTCTTTCCAGCTAAATGCCTTAAATATGCATAATTTTGTATAAAACTATTAACCCCAAATCTCCTTCAAATTTATTACAAGAATTAATTTCAAATAATTATGATTAATCATTATTAATTTATAGAAATCATAATATGCACAATCTGTTGGTCATAATTTTGTAATTAACCTCAATTAATTCATAGAGATCTTAACCTTCTTAATCTTTTTACCACAATTTGAATTTGTGATGAAAAATACTCCTTGAGGTGAACGGGTGTGGTGAAATCCTACATCAACTAGAAATACGATAACATTGTAATATATAAGTGAGTATATTCCTCACCATACTAAGTCAGTTTTGGAAAATTAAGTTAATATCTCATTATTTCTAAAATAATATCAAACCCTATTCTAATGATGTTGGAACATGAAAAATTTTTCTCGAAGTAAAAGGGTGTGATGAAAAATCCTTCTCAAAATGAGAAAATATGATAAAATCT